GGAGAGCCATCCCCACTCGTCGGCCTGCACTCGTGTCAGAGTCCGCGAATTAGAAATGACAGCGTGGCAGTGAAAGGCGCGTGGTGAAACCAACATTCTCTCGGGCGCGTGAGGTAATATTATATTGAAATTTACAATGGTTGAGCGGTTCAAATTGTAGGGTCCCTAGTGGGGTCCGAAACAAAGCTCTAAACGAGACTACAGTGACACTTGAGGGGAGCGGATACTCATCAAATGGAACTGCCCGTTGGATTTTCTTTTATATTCATTTGCATTATTAAAATCATGCCGCGGGCGTTTTCAAGTTTGGAAAACCTCCCAAATGCCCATTTTTCAAAAAATAACGTAAATTAAACATTCTTTACTCCAACATGAACTAAACATTCATCTACTATTATTGAGCCATTTTTAAATTTCATGACTTCCACTTATCTCGAATATTATTATACATTTGACCAACATTAACAAAGATAAATAGTAAGCTTATATACCTCACGTTTATCATACTAACAAAAATAAAAGTTGATGGAAGCATTTATAAATTGATCTAAATATATTAATTCTTTTATTCTCTCAATATAAAATTTTTGTTTATATGTTAGAGATATCCAAATTTATATTATCTTATTTCAATTGTGATTTTTTTTTAGGAAATTCTGATTTTTTTATGGGTCTATTTTATTTATGATATATTTCCTCTATATCTTCCAAAATGATATAAGATTCAAAAAATACTATGAGGGAATAGATTTTTCTACACTTTTTTTTAATAGGAGTTTTTTTTCTTGCTTTAAAAAAAACACGATTTTTATTCCATTCTTTTAACTTCAAGTTGTTTAAATTTGAATATGCTACGCAGGGGAGTGCATCAAAAATTTTTTTAAAAACGTCAACAAAATATCACTAATATAAACATAAAATTAATATTTATAAATGTTATATCATAGAAAAAATGTGGATGGTTTATTTGTTAATTTAAATATTTATTGTGAATTTTTATTTCTATAAATACATATTGACATTGACATTTATCTATTTTCTATCGACAACAACACTTAAGAGCTTAGAATTATGATAGTCGGTTAGTATGATTACGATAAAAGAAAAGAGGATTATGAAGTTTAGTCGTGAACTTTTAAAAATATATATAAAGAGACTGAGGAAATACTAAACTTTTGCCGCGTATAATAGATTAAGAAATATATATATAAATTTTATGCAAGTGAGTTTTTTTTAGATTGCCGTGAGTAGTCTCACTAGTAGTTTAATACATTTGTTTATTTTTTCTTTTTTCTTTTTTTGATAAAATACTTTTTTTGTTCATTCCTACCATATACAAACCATACCATTTTATAAATTTTGGTTATTTAATTTAGACAAAATCAGTTCACATGATTTATCTTACACGTATCACGTGCAGTCATGTACTGATTATATTCAATACAAAGTAGTATGGCTGCAAACTTATAAATTACGGGAAATCAAGTTTTCAAATTATTTTAAAATAATTGCATAGTTTGCGAATATTCAAAAATTCTATGTCCAAAATTTGTGAAATACCCTTCGTTTGTCGTGAAACTGATATAACAGCTAAAACATTTTAAAATATTGATTTGTTAGTTCCGCAAATTCATCATTTTTTTATTTAGTTTACCTTCTTCATTTTTTGAAAAAAAAAATAATAAAACGGTTCGCTTGCTGCTTGGGATAATTTGGAATTTGATTTTCTTCTCTCTTTTTTTTTTTTGTTTGTGTGTTTAAAGAACGGATAATTATGAAGTCAAAAATAATATAAATAACGGATAATTATGAAACTGAGTTGGTATAGTAACAATTGTTTTGATTTTAAACATTTTCAAATTAAGAGGTTTGCCTCCTTTTCTGCGTGTGACGTGGTTTTTTTTTTCCCTTTGAAACGTGCGTGTGACGTGGTTGACTATTGTCCTATGTCCACTTTTTTATTAATTGTATTAAATATGCCAAAATCATGTGTACGTTTCACATTGTAGAGTTCTTACATTCTTTATTTTATACCAAGGATTCTCCCAATAACGCTGTTCAAACTCGAAACATATAATCTATGCTTTTAACTAGTTCAATTTGGTAAAAATTGACTATATTCTTAACTTTAAATTTATTTTTAAGTTGATGTATGTTTTAAAGTTTTTATAATAATTACCTATTGAAATATTGATAGAAGTAACATCAATGATGGATCTATACTCCACTCCTCAACTTTGAAACACTTGTTATATATATACTAAATAATATAAAAATATTAATGAGATTTCACAATGGTTTAGTGGAGCACGTGCCAAGGTCGTGTGTGACTGCAGTTCAGTACGAAAATCAAATATATTATATAATTGTACGTTGGTCAAATCTCATTTTTAGACCGGGTGTTCGTTTGAGCTTTTGTGATACTATATCAATCTTTATGGTTCCCTATAAAAATCATTCGACAATGAGAGGAGTACACACATATATTATAAATATTTGTTAAGTGATTGTTTTTTAGTATGAAACTATTAACAATAATTTATCTATATACGTAAAATGAATTTCAATGTGCTAATAAATAATATAGTATATTTCACATAATAAGTATTGTTTGTGTAAAAATATTTATTTAAAATATAATATTGCATCAAATCTGTTTATGCAATGATGTGCACAACAGCGTATTTCAGATTGCAGCTCGAACTCGGCCTGCGGACCGACATGGACACTTGAGCGGACCTGCACAAAAAGGTGAGCACTCCGACGATCAAGTCAGTATAGGTCGGATTCCCAGTTTAGTTCGAGGCTTGAAATCATCGTACCTGATCGTGGAGTGAAGTCCTCTACTTATGAGTGGTAGTCCCGCTAATATCGCAACGGTTATACTCGGTAATCTCGGGATTGTCAGTTACGCCCGGTAATCTCGGGACCGACGATTATGCCCGATAATCACGCCGCTGACAGTAATTCGCATCGGCCCCCACCGAGCTTCCCGGTAGGTCGGACCTCGGCCAGGTTCACCTCGGCCCTCATACTTAGCATCTATCAACGCTAGTAGTGGTGATCTCGGCCGTCCGAGCTGGGCATGACTCATGAGTCATCTTGGAGCACCAATAGGGGTCCTTCACGTGTCCAGGGTATTCCCTTCCCCAAACAAAATCAATTAATTTTCTCAACTTTAATATAATTCAATTGATTAAAATATCTACTATTGATAACTTGTTGGAAATTCGGAACCCTAATCCATGTAGAATTAGAAAAGATAAAATTTATCTAACGAATTGATTACAGGATCATTTAACCAATTGTAGTAGCAATAATAATCGTACAAAACAAAATACATTCAATATTCAATAAATACATTTGAAAATGTTGAAGTTTGTAGAGTGGACATGTCATTTTCCTAAAATATGTTTGTACAAGGCTGATACACGGTCATTTGTAAGACCATGGTAACCAATAACGGAAGCGTCCAACAAAATAATTGGGATTATATCATATTTTGTTTCCCGGCCCATGAAGCAATTATATAATAATTTATGTCAAATTCAACTAAACTTAAGTGGCATATATTTCTGACGCATGATATTCGAATCTCCTATCTACTTAGAAAGTTGGGTGGGTAGGACAATATTATGTGTATTGACTTATTGCAAGAAAAAATAAGGATTTCACGAATCATGGCACAACAAAAATAAAGATACATTTTCTAAACAAACGACAAAAAAAAAAAATTACAAACATACACAACAGAGCTAAAAATCAAATGAACTTAGTTATGAAAAATAAATTTCATACATACTCCATCGAAAGACGATCTCTAAAATGAGCACTATCCAATCATGTTATAGTGCGATTATAAACATCACTGTGAATGTTATGTCAAATAACCGAAGCCGAAATATAGGCACCATCATGGGTTGTAGAGTCACATTATCTTCAAATGTGATATATAAATGTAGTCCAATAAATCATCCATACTTTGCATTCAGGAGATCGACCTTTACTAATACGACATATTCACTTTAATAACTTTGTACCTGGTCCATGGGCAAATAGATAAACCTACCGAAACAATCATACCACCCCATATTCAAGTAAGAGGCGATCCCCAATATCAACTTAATCGAAACAAACACGTGAACTTGGACTAGATGGACACAGAAAACAAATACAATTTTAAGTTAACAAATGATTACAGATAGTTAACCAATATAAGAATGATTTTTTAGGGATACCATCAGCGAAATTAATCAAAATAAAATTTAAATCATAGCATAATTGGTCAATACATATATTATTAAGTAAATATCCCTCCCACACATTATTGATATGAACAAAAATAGGTTTAAATATTATTTTAATTCATATACATTTGTTTGGTTCATCTTGATAATTGTACTTTCAAAACATTTATTTCGGTCAATGTATAAACTTTTGTTAATTTTAATCACCATGTTTTCAAAATATCCATTTTGGTTTCGTACCTTAAATAGTGACAATTTTGGTAACTAGTTAAAAAACGTACCACAAAATGTATAGACAATAAAGGTCGCTGAATACAACTTTATGAATACATTAAAAAAACAAAGTATTGAATGAAATATCGTGTTACTCTGAAGCTATCAGTTATGTTATACTATACTAGTTGCAGGACGATGGAAGCTTTACTAATTGGATATCAAGTAAAGAGGACTTTATCATGGACCAAATAGAAAAAGTAGTAGAGGTAGAGTTGGATGGACACGCGTCTTTAGCTAAAGTGGAAAAAGAAAATTATAGGCATCTGAAACCAAACATTTAAAATGTATTTAAATAGAAAAAAAGTATATAATTAAAACAATACAAACTTTTAAAAGTAAAAAAGTAACCCGAACGAGATTAAAATTTTAAACCCAATAATTAATAACCTAAATACACAGGCCAAATTGAAGGTTGAAAAGTAAACGACCGAAGTCAGAGATATTTTCATCTTCACAAGTATTTGTTTATTTCTGATAATTCGAGTGCTCGACGGATTTTTTTAGCTAGGGGAAAATAGTAGGAAGCCAGCACTAGCAGACGGCGAGAATTGGAGCTTGCGTTCTGAAACCTTCAGCCAACTGCCATGGAAATAACTTCCTGCTCAACGCTATATTATCGTCCTCTCAAAAGAACCCCGAATTGCAACTGTTCCGACTCATATCTTATACTCAATCAGCCAAGAAGTAGGCTCCATCCGTCTTCTCCGCATCTCTCTGTATTCTCGAGAAGCTGTAATTTCAATGGAAAGAGTTTACGACTCGGAAGATTGCCTGCTTTCAGTAGCCCCAGCCGTTCCGACCTCGACTCGTCTCAAGAACTCGCGGTTCTTCTCGAAGTTGAAGGGTGATTTCATAATTGTTCTCATTAACTCATGCATTTACACTTTTTATTAATTCTTTCTGGTTCGAATTGTCTTCTGTTATCCGAAGACCGAAGCTGCTTTTTCTCTTTACAGATAAGTATTCTACGAATACCTGCACATTGTTAAATTTCAAAGACGTACTGACGTAGCAATGCTTTCCATTATCCGTTCGACTTTCACGAAGCTACTTTGTTATAGCTTTATGGTCTCTCCAAAATCAATGTGCTGACCGATTTCAGTTTAAATTATTTACACTCATTGATTTTATCACGTTCCTGATCTAATCTACCTTTTATCCCGTAGGCATGTTGAGTCAAATAAAATTTTAGACCATTATAGGATACCACCAGAAATCCAGTAGACAGGGCTCTTAATTATTGGACCTACTATCTTTCGGACGGCCCAAGTACGGAAAATGGGAAATTGTTTATCTCCCTTCATCTGTAGATCTGATCGAGGAAATATGATAAAATTAAATTCCGGTCAAGTTCGTCCATCAATAGAGACAACGTTAACCATCATAAATAATGCAGAAGTTGTTGTTGTGTGTTTTATATATTTAAAGTTCAACTACATGTGGGGTGGAAATTCAAACCTTCGACCTAGGTCGAGGATACAATGCTTTAACGGGTTGAATTATGCCGTGGCTCATGCACGAGTGTTGAAGAATAAAAAAGTGGGAAAGATCTCATATTTGGACTAGAAAAATCATTGGATTGCCATATGAAGGAATAACTGGCAGTGTTGACTACTTCCCACGTCATGTAAGTGAAAATAACTAAATATTCAAGATAAAAAACCAGATCTAACCTTTCACCAAAGAACAGTTGAGCAGGCTATGGCTTTCCCCTTCAATCTATCAATCACTTAAAACAAGCCCTTGTCTGTATCTAACTGCTAAAGCAGAGACCAAGCAGGTCTTTCAAGCACAACTAGGCCTTCCCTTTCAACCACATCTTTGGATGATGAACTTATTAGATTTTACAAAAATCTAGAATAGGTACTAAGTTCCTTTAGACTTGTGATGATTATGTTGCCCATTAATGCTTTTGCGGATATTTGATAAACCAAGAGAAAGAAGGACTAGATATCAAGAAATAAAGTTAAAAAAAGAAAAGAAAAGGTGTAAATGCAATATTGCCAGGGAGGCAATAGACTATGTTGATTTGAGTTAGGGTATCTGGCCAATATTGTCTACGTGATTTGAAATAATAAGAAATTAATATTTTTCTGCTCTCCAACCTTTGAACGTTGCATGTGGTGGGTAGGATGGAGTTTCTTTCCGTAACTCCTTTTTGTCCCTTCCTTCCAGAGTCCTCGTGGATGCATATCGCTCGACTAATCGCCAAGCTTTCAATGAGGGTGTGCTCAAACTTTCATACTTATTCATTATCAGTTCTAAATTCTGTAATTAATTTGGATTTATGTGTTTTTGGATGATCATTATCCAACTTTCTGCTGTCAGCATTTCGGAAGCTTGGACTTGACTGCGCAAATTGGACTGAGCCTGTATATTCAGACCTTGTGAGGTGCAACTCCTATTAATACTATCTAATCTAGCTTATTATTTTGAAATTATGCTTCCATATTTGCTTTCATGAATACATGATAAATTTGGCATGTTAAAGATTATCTTCACTACCCCTGGCCGCCCCAATTAAACTTATTAGTCAAACTTTGATTGCATTGCCTTTATATTTTATTAACAAACACGTAACTATACTTCTATTTCTTCAATAAAATTTGTTTCTCATTAAAAAAAAGCTTGTAACTTTACATTGCATCTTTTTTCTGCAACTCAAGACCAATTTCTTCAATTTAACAAAATTTGTCATCTTTGCTTTTATGACTATATGGTGTTGAAGTCCCCATCCATTTTACATACTCTAGGAAGAAGTCTCACGATGTTGTGCAGTAGGTTGGTTATGTAAGGCTTAAGTTCTTAGTTGTCAGAGCAAAGGGTGCATGTGAAAGTGAATGCATTTCTATGGGGTAGGGTTTATGAGTAAGTGACGTGGGACCCTTTGTAGTACCTGCCATTGGTATGTATAATTGTTAGTAAAGGAGGGGAATGCAGGGAGTAGCTAGTTTTGTGGGAGAGATACAAACCTCTAGGATGTTTGTAGATTGTAAATCCTTTCCTCTATCAATATAAGTGACATTTAACAAAAAAATAAGAAACACAATATTTTTATATATCAACGAAATATGCCAGAGAAAATGGAGGAAAGGCAACCCTAAGTCAAGGGAGGTTACAAGAAAGGCTCCAATTAGCCAAAAGATAATTTAGAGAACAGTTTCAAAAAGCTTTACTAAGCCTACACCAAGAAGTAGAAACAAAGAGGTTCTCCACCAAAGATAAAAAATCTCTATCTTTTCCTGACAAAAAAAATGTGGTTTCTCTCTAACCATGTACACCACAAAAAACTTCTAATAAAGTCGAGCCAAAGAACCTTTGCCTTGTCTTTGAATGGACGATGAAGGGAGATAGTAATAAAAAATAAGGGATCATACAAGAAAAGAAAACAGCATGTTCCAAAACCCTAATTGGCATATTCTGGCCAAGGCTTTATCACTGTCGTGACTCAAGATTTTTGAAAATCATTTTGATCTCTTTCACAGGAAAAATGCTTCTAATGAGGAACGGATGCTAATTACGTATTTTAACCGTGTGAGTTTCTTTTCTTGAATTGAGAATTAGAACTATTAGTTTTGGTAATTGCTTCTTTTTCCTTGGTTCTGAAACACATTTTTAAGTTAGTCAAAGTGTTTCTCTTCTGTACAGATTGGTTGGCCGACTTCACTGCCAACAAATGAGAAGGAATCATTTATTAAACGTGTTCTGCAAGAAAAGGTGCTTCTATAGGTCATCTATGAATAAATGTCTGGCAGATATTTTTTTTAAAGGTTTTTGATTCAATGAAATGAAAAAAATTGGATAATAATTCCTTTGTACACAAATAGCCATGTAGCCTTGATTTGATAATCCCAATTTGCTCCCAAATATACAGGACCTCTCTATTCCTTTCCTCGAATAATCTTGTATTTTTATCTTTCTTTTTTGATAACTGGGAGTCGGAGCTTTGCTCTCCTATACTAAGGGGCACCTGCACCCGTCCCAAGGTCCGGACCCGGGAGACATCAAGGGTTTTTGGTATTAAGCTCACCTGAAGGCTCGAACTTGTATTTTTCTCTTTCTAAATCACCTCCTAAAAAGATGGCATCTGTCCATATAAATTTAGCATTCTTTATGAAGAAAGGACCTGTCAGTGAATTTGTGATATAAAACACAAATCTGTGATCTAGTTGAGATTGGAGTTAAATACCAATGGTCAAACTTTTACAGCGTATTGAGTCCAATACAATGAATGAACAAGTGAATTTGTTTGGATTAGGCAGTCATGTCTTGGTCTTCTTGAATGTAAATCTCCTTTGGTGCTCAAGTTAGTTTGCATGCACTATCCTCCCCTCTCCTTCTGTAACCATTTTTCATAGAAAATGTTTCTTACAAATTATATTTATTTTTTATGTCATTCCTCTTGTGAGCATTAGCTATTAAAAAATGATGCTATAACAATGTTTTTTTTCTTCTATCTTTTTATTTTTCTTTTAAATCTGAATTTTTTCATCCATTATTTGCAGAAAAATGCATCAGATGAATTGATGGTCTCACAAAGCTTACCTTTACGGCCAGGAGTTGAAGAGTAAGTGCTCCAAACTGAATCCCAGTCGATTGGTACTTGGGAATCTGTTGCCTAATCATCTATATGATTTACTTAATCCACCTATTTTTTAATTTGAATGCCTATATTTCTTATTAGAGTGGACATGGTTTTCCTTGATATTTGGATTACGTGTTAGAAAATTGACCATTTAATGGTTGTAGTATAATCATGTCATATTGTTATGGTTTTCTTGCTCTGTATGTTAGAACTAGAAAAAGAAAAAAAGAAAAAAAAAAGAAAAGAAAACCTGTTACACCAGACTATATGGTCATGGTTTAGAAGCAATAATGCTTATTTGGTTGCTGATTTGTCTAAAGTTTTTTGTATTAACTCCCTATCTTCCATTTAGTTCCAAATGGAAGAAGCTTTTATATTCTCTAGTGCTCATTTAGTTCAAATGACTACCACCCAGCAAGAGTGAGATCTTCCCCGATGAAGTCCTAGTAAGCTTATCAATTTTATTGGCCATAGCATCAAGAATACAGAAGATAGAGAGAAAATAGGTAGGCATATTAGCAATCATAGCTTAACTTGAAGCAAGAAGTCCTCATGAAATAGAATTGGTTTATGAAATTCTAGGGAATGTAAGGATTTTATCCTTGAAATGTTCTGAAAATTTGGAAAATTCACTCTTCTTAGAAACTCATTTGTCAGTCTTATAAAAATAAGGATTCTGCAACGGAAGATACAATTTCAGGCACAGTTAATTCGCACCTACTTTATTAAAAAGAAAAAAACTTGCACTTACAGTTTCAGATATTGCTGAATATCATGTCGCGTACGGTAACCGGTTGCTTGCTACCCTTGACTTTAAATGAGATCAGACATACAACTATAGTTGATATCATGAGTTGTCAATTATCAAAACTTGATCTACGAATCCCTCTCGACTGTTTCTTTATTAAGTGGAGCTACATTTCATTTCTGCAGTTTCATTGACAATGCATATAATGAAGGAATACCTGTGATTATTCTCACGGCCTACAGCAAGACTGGAGAAGAAATTGCTAGGTAAATTCCTGTTAATATTAGAGTTATACAACAGTTGGAAATACATAAATTGTCTTCCCAAAACTGTGGGTTTTTCCCAATAGCTGTCATAAAGTACTTTTCACTTTTTGGGATTGAATTGCCTAATTATAGAATATCCAATTGCGAGTAGCTATGATATGCTATGTTATCAGGAAATCATAAAACCTTAGTCGTGGCATTATTTTTTTTTGATATCCGTGAGTGTCCTTGCTTGCTTAGTCGTGGAATTATGACTAACTAATTTTGTTGCAATTTCAAATTTAGTTTTAAGCGTGAAACTAATTAGACATTGTTTTCTACAATACTATTTGTTGCTTGTAATAACGAGGCTCCAATATTGAGAAAATTTCTCTCTTGCACTATCTTATTGAATCATTTAAAATGCTGTTCTCCGGATTGGACCAGTAGTAAGGACTTTTCATCCATCTTTACAAGTTCTTTTTGTATTTCTTCTTTTTCAAGGTCCTTCACTTTTTTATTTTTATTTATTGTTGATTTTTCCTCATGTAATGCTTTCCCCATATCAATAAAAAAATGTTTCTTGTTTTGGATAAAATGTCATTTCCTCACAATTGATACAATTTATTTGTCACTGCCTTGTAATAAAATTTTATCAATGTTTAAAGCTAACATTTCCGGTACGTGTTGCTTAATTTTTAGATCTATCATTAATAAGCTTGGACCGGAGAGAATATCCAAAGTAAAGATTGTTGGGAATGAGGAGGCAAGACAGAGTTTATATAGTCAGGTTGTGCTTGGTCAAGCAAAGCATTCAGGTCTGGATGAGCAACTAGCTAAGGAAGCAATGAAAGCAGGTAGTCCTTTTTCCATGTTGGTTGACATACTTTGTGAATCCAATTTTATTTTAAATATTCAAGGTTGGATACTGAAGGGCTGTATTATTGCTTGACGGGCTAGCTTCTGCCGAGAAACAAAGGATAGCTGAGAAGGTTGCATCAGCGCTAAAGTTGAGTGTTGAGATAAATATTACCTCATCTGAAAGGTCCGTCCATTTGTTAAATTAAGTCCATGGTGAATGTTTACTATGATATGCTTTTGTTTTTATGTCGTTATTGTTGCTGTACTATTATTATTACTATATTTTTCATGTTAATGGCCAGCTGACCACAATGAATAGAAGTGTAGGGCCTCCAACCATTTGATACTTCCAAGTCTTCTAGACTATGAGGCACCACCTAAAAATTAATTGACTTGCATGCCTTGAAGGATCATGACAGGAAAGCAGTGGATAATTGAGGTCCATGTCCTTTCTAGCATATTCACATAACATACATTTCTGAGGACTTGGAACTTTGGAAGAATTGTTCTTGGTATCCACCATTGGTATACATTTTTTCACAAATTGCTGTCCACGGCCAACAAAACTTGATTTCATGGAGAAGTTCCTTCACAATTTAGCTTGGTTGGCCAATTTTTGAGAAGTCATATAGAGTTTTAGAAGAGAGAAGGTTCTGCAATTTGCAGTTAGAAATTGTGGTACTTGATCTCATGGGACGGAGAGGAAGCTATCCAAGTAAAATAGAGAGAGAGCACCGACCTTTCATCCTCTCCTCTTGAACTGAGTTTCACAGCTGCTTTCACCTTTTGTCGTACAAAATGTTTGCCAATGATTATTGATGAGTATTAGAAGACGATGCAAACAATGGAGTGTTGCTGAAGGGGCTTGGTTAGCAATCAATCTCCTGAAACCAAGTTCAAGCGCAAGAGATAAAAAAGATTGTATAAAATTTTCGAGTTTGAACTGGTTCCTGATCTCCTTTCTTATCTATTCCACTTGGAGCACTTTTTATGAACTCCTTTGGCGGCATAGAGTTTCTTATTACAATTCCATGGGGCTTGATCTACTAATGCGTTTGATCTTTTAAGTGCTCCAGCTTTTGGTATTGTACTTCTTCCACTAACAGTAAAGATAATCCTCACAATAGTTGATATAAAATACTGTAGTTTATGAGTCACCATGGATTGGGCTAGCTGCAAACCTATGTCTTTAAGGTAATGAATTTAAACCATAGGGTCAAATCACCTACTTAGATATTGAATGACCTTTGAGGTTCCCGATGCTGTTGTCAATTCAGGCAGGAATCTTATAGAAGTAATCAAGATGGATGTACGCTGGTCCAAAGAAAAAAACATGTTGCGGTTTATGCAGACCCTTCCTTTTCTTTACCTCTGCACCAAAATACTTATTGTGCATGATTATCAGTTTTATAAACATACATGTGTATGCGTACATACATCTCGTTAGTGGACTTTCTAGTATCCAAGGGATGTTTTTAGAAGCTTGATTATGTGGTTTATTTTCAAATTCTAAGAATCCTCTAGTTATAACTGTCATGGATACGGGCTCAAGTATTGAAAGTTTATTTTAAATAATTGGTTATCTGTTTATTTGACAAAAATATTTAATATTATGTATATTGGTTACAAAAAGAAAAAGCTCTATTATGTGATAATTTATATGATTCTGTATTTTTACACATTCAGTTTGGAGAAGATCACATGTGCATTGCGTGCTGGAGCAGAACTTGCAGGCATACCTGTTTCAAATTGCATCCTTATTGCAGGAACCCAGTATGGGGTTGATGGAGCTGTTCAAATAGGCATGCCATGTATTGTACTACGTAGTAGGTAATCCCGATCTCGATTCTCGAATTAAATTTCACCTTTTTTTTTCCCTCTGAATACCATGATTTTACGTCTCGGTAATTAGTATGCATGCAGGTAATTTTAGAGTGTTCAATGAGCCAAATTAGGTCTTAAAATAGATGGAGTGATAAGTGATTTAAAACAATCAATCAAGTTTTAATCAGGAAAAGAATTGGCACTCAGAAGTTTGTTTGAGCTTGGGAAGAAGTTGCATTTATGGTTGGCTGACTTTTTGAGATGCTTTCCCAAGTTTCATCACTACAATACATCAAGAAAACAACACGAGATTCAATCTAAAAGCTTGATGGTATAACATGTGAACTTTGTTCTTGATCATACGCCAAGGTTTAGAAGGAAAATTTTGGCTTGCCAATGGGACTAGATAAAAAACTGTTGTTCACAATCATGTTGTACAATTAAACTTAATTCGTCATTGATAGTTGTAACAAACACATGCATGCTTCTAAGAAAAGTATTATGCTTCTTAACTTTTGGGCATTTATTTATTATTTGTAGTTTGACATCAAGAGCTGAGTTCCCTTCAGCAAATGCTATAATGGATGGCTTCGGAGTAGGTGGTTTGACCATTACCAGATTACGGCAAAAGACATGGTCTTGAGATAGCTGGCCTCGTGTTATTTCTGTCTTTTCTAAGATGAAGCCTTTGTATTTAACACTGCTATATGACAGTTTTCATGCTCAAATGTATGGCTTTAAATCTTGAAACTTTTGAGAAATAATAGAGAATAATGTTTCCTTAGCGTACATCAGAACTCAGAAGCATGAGAATAATTACATATTTTAGGAGCAAAGCAACACTGTGTACTGGCCGGCCTTTCGCAATCTCCGCAATTTTTCTCATCGGGATTGAGGATGGGAAAATAAATTTTGTTTTTAATTTATTATTATGTTTTTTCCTCGGGATGGAGCTCCAACCCCAAAAGTTTAATATATATATATATATATATCGATCATTTTTATTATATTATTAATAAAAATATTAATGTTTTTTTCAGCTTAATGTGTTTGTTGTTATTATTATTGTTTTTTGAAAATGATCTTAATGTGTTTATTTTTTATTTTTGGCTGATCTTAATGTGTTTGTTGATATTTAATTAAGTTTTTATTTACAAAATAATACAAAATAGGAATTTTTCAGAAAGGAGGATTAAAAATAATTTATTTAGGACGAATAATATGAAGAATAAAATGATATAATGAA